TATAAATATAATAATACCGAGATTTTGGTTTTTGACTTACAAATTGAAATGTATTGATACCAACATTTCCTAAAAGTGGTTTTCTATATATATATAAATATATTTTTTTTTATTTCTATTTTGATTTGAATGGTATAGGTACCTACAATAACAAATCGAGGTTCCATATATAGATTTCATTTCATTTCACCATGGACCACTGGCCAAAAGACGTCGGAATATGCGCTATTCACGTCGTCGTACCGTCGTTGTACGTCGATCAAGCCGATTTGGAACGATACGACCGAGTATCCGAAGGTAAATACACCGTCGGTCTAGGCCAAAAGCAAATGGGGTTCTGCACGGATCTGGAAGACGTGAACTCGCTGTGCCTAACCGCGGTCAGTCAGCTGATCGATAACAACGGCCTCAGCTACTCTGACATCGGTCGCCTGGAAGTGGGCACCGAAACCATTGTCGACAAGTCGAAAAGCGTGAAAACGGTGTTGATGAAGCTGTTCGAGGCCAGCGGAAATTTCCAGGTGGCGGGCATCGACACGACGAACGCCTGTTACGGTGGCACGGCCTCGCTGTTCAACGCCCTGTCGTGGATCGAGTAGAGCGCGTGGGACGGCAGGCTGGCCGTGGTGGTGGCGGCAGACATCGCGGTCTACGCCGAGGGCAACGCGCGTCCGACTGGTGGCGCCGGCGCCGTCGCGATGTTGATCRGCCCGGGCGCAGCGCTGGTGGTCGACCGGGGCCTGCGAGCAACGTACATGAAGCACGCGTACGATTTCTACAAGCCCGACCTGTCGTCCGAGTACCCGATGGTCGACGGCAAGCTGTCCGTCGATTGTTACCTGAACGCCCTGGACCGGTGCTACGAGTCCTATCTGAGCAAGTGTCACGGCGACGACGTCGGCCTGAACCGGTTCGATTCGTTCGTGTTCCACGCGCCTTACTGCAAACTGGTGCGCAAATCCTTGGCCCGGTTATACATGTACGACTCCGTCAACGGCGTCGGCGCGAACGACGAGCAACACCAACAACGGGACTGGACCGGCGTCGAGAACACGTACGTGGAGCTCAGCAGGACCGTTTTCGAGGACAAGACCGAGCCGTCGCTGTTGCTGGCGTCGCGCGTCGGCAACACGTACACTGCGTCCGTGTACAGCGGACTGGCGTCGTGTCTGTTGTCGGTGCCGCCTGAACGTCTGCCCGGCAAGAGGATCGGCGTGTTCTCCTACGGTTCCGGTCTCGCGTCGTCCATGTACTCGATCAGGGTGGTAGACAACGGTAGCCTGCCCGGTCTGATCGGCAACCTGAAGAAGAGCGTCGACCGTCTGGAAGGACGGACGCGCCTCACACCCGAACAGTTCGCGCGCGTGTTAGACGTCCGTCAGAAGTCCCTGCACCGAGCCCCGTACGTGCCGACTGGCGACAGGAGCCAGCTGTTCCCGGGCACTTGGTTCTTGTCGAGTGTCGACGAAATGCACAGACGGTATTAMGAGAGAAATTAATGAGCAAGAAACATTTTTTCCATTAACAATGCCATATTTTTCATATATTTTTAAATTTTTGATATTTTCTTTTATTACTTACAAGAAGCGACCTGTGTATA